TGATGGGATAGCATGAGGAAGGTCATTCCAGTTATAACCCACTGGAAGTAGTTTGGGTGACAAGATGCCAGAAAACTGTAAGCTAATAGATGACAATCGTGCATTTTTGATTCTAGGTGGTTTGGGGAACTCAAACTGTATCTTAAGGACTGAACTTTTAAAGATAAAATGCTAAAGCTGCTCATTTCTTCCCTTGGAACTCCTGGGCTTGGTGGGGAACAGCTGCTAGCACAGGGTGACTGCAGCTCCTGCCTTCCCCTGGCTGGAACCTTCCCCTGGGCATCAGCTTGCCAGGTGCTCACTGGAGACTGTGTAATGAGCTCATTAAAGCCACTAATGSCTTGTGAACTCACTCATGTGGACACAGTGGCTGGATCAAATAGCAGGTTAGGCTTTCCTCCTTTCACTGAAAGTGTTTCCCTACAGCATTGCAATAGCTATTATTTTGTGTTGTTTTACTCATGAACAAAATCTGTGGGGAACCCATTTGTAGCTAGAAAAAAGATGTTAAAGTAGGTTAATTTTTACTGAGCAAATGGGGAACGCTTCTCAACACAGTATTGAAACAGACTGAGAAATAACAGGAGGAAAACTATAAAAAGAAGCTCTAAGTTAACAGTGGGTGCACTTTCCCTGAGTGCTGCTCACCCAAAGCCGTGTAGCTGTCGCAGTGTACCCAGTGCTGCTGCTGTTTGAACAGTCACTCTCTTAGAGTGAAATCCAGCAGGAACATCCGAGCTGAGAGGCCGAGGCTCTAAGGCTCAGTGTCTGCAGTTTACAGACAGCCTGGGCTTTCCTGCTGCCATGGCTCCTGTCCCTTCTCCAGCTAATGGCTGTCTCTCCTCTGCTTTCCTTCCTCAGAGATATCAAGCCTGACAACATTTTACTGGATGAGCACGGTAAGTGCTTTGTGGTCATGCAAATGTATAAAAGCAGTCAGAGAAGGAGAGCAGTCTCGGTGCTTTCGGTGCCATCCTTTGGTGTTGCTCTCTCTCAGCCTCGCTGGAGCAGGACCATCCCATCCTTTTGTGCTCCACATGTGTCCCTCACTTTTTGAGCAGCAGTGTCTTGTGCCTTCAGGGCACGGGGCACCCTGTGATTCTGTGGCTCTTGTGGGTTTGTTTGCCTTGGTGTTTTAACCTCCTTTGGCTGACTGACTTGATGGTGGCCCCACAAGGCACTGGCAGGGACCACATGTTTGGTGCTGCTTGGGATCAGTAGCCCAGCACACCCAATTTTAACATTTTCTTGGCTCTTTTTAAAAACCTAAATAATCATTTGACAGGCAATGTTCATGTCACTGCAGGGTTTGTGCAGTGTGTGCTCACAAATGGAATTTATTATGGTGCACTAGATGATCCTCATTCAGGTATTTTCTTTTTCCTTGAGCATTTGGCATGGGGTGTGAGCTCAGAAATGCATTTGGGGCTGGGTATATTATAAATGTTGCTTTCAGGTTTTTCCCTGGTCTTTCTCAGTCAAAATTCCTGACTATATTCTTGCATGACTCTGCAGTCACAGTTTTTTCCTGGCAACGATCTTGCAATGAAGAGTTCTCTGATATTACTTAGTTTATAGCTCACTAGAGAAACACTTTGTTATTGCACACTTTTTTAAAAAATCCAAGTAACTGGCTTATTGTGAGAGATTGTCATTAGCAGCTCCACCAAAGTGCCTGAAGAGACAAAGTCAGTGCAGGAGGAGGCATACTTGAATTCCTGATCCTTCAGAGGCTGGAGCAGAGAGGCTGCAGCTCCCGAGGGAGGCATTCCTGGCTCTGGGCTGTGTGTCACCAGGGTTGCCTGGCAGCACCAAGCCTGGATCTGTTTGCATATGACCTCTAATTTCAGAGCACRGGTTGATTATTTATTTAGGAGCAGGCAGCAAAGTGGCTTTGCCTCTAGGTGCTGCAGCCTCTGTCCTGCCTCCTGCTGGAATCCTGACATTGTCAGGGCTCCAGGCTCTGTCCAGGGTGGGACTGCCTTTGGTCAGTCCTGGCTGGTGGACATTGTGGGGATGGGATTATAAAGGTGTCTGAGAGGAGCTGGGATCACCATGATCATGGGAATGTGTGTCAGCACTGCCCAAAACGGGGGAAAAGGGAGGAGAAGGCTCTGTTCATCTCTGTGATTGCATTCAGCCCAGAAGGACACAATCTACTGACTTCTATAATGATACTACAATTCAGGAARAGTTTTGAGCCTGTTCTCTGCTCAACGTGATTTTTTTAACTCTCTCTTGCAGAAGTTTCAGAGTGTTTTTTTCTGGGGACATATCCTTGACTCCAGTGTCCTTTTGTCTGTGACTTGTAGTATTTCTTTATCCATGGCAGCAAAGGTTTGTCCTCCAAGGCACCTAGAAAGATTTAGGCACACACAGAGTTCATTTTTAAGTTTTAGGTGAAATCACAAGTTCTGCTTTTGCTCTCCTAATTTTCCCAGCTACAACAGGTATTTGCAGCAGGCAACCTGWATCACTGCTCTCATGGAATAGATCTGTAGGCACAGTCATAAATATTTACTGAAATGCTCATATAAATATTCCCTGAAGTGGTAGCATCCAGAGAAGACAACAGAAGTTCATTGCCAAAGCATCAACTTTTAGACCTATGAAGGTGACCTTATTCTGCTTTAATTCATGAACTAGTGCAGCAGGAAATCTCTAGCTGTTGAAGCTAATGACTGAGGAAAGTGTCACAGCATTCATGTCAATAAAGGCCACTTCGTGTCCATCTCTGTGGTTTTTGGAAAGAGCAGCGATTCAGCTCCATTCTGTTACTGCCAAGGGAGTGATGAGGCTGCAAAACACAAAAACCAGAACAGCTCATGTGTTACAATGAGCCAAGCCTTGTCAGGGTGAGCAGGCTCAGTGCTTGAGGAGGAGATGCAGGAGGTGGGCAAGYAGAGCCTGCCTGCTTTTGATCAGGAGAGCTGAGCCTAACTAAATCAAGTTTCAGAGAGACTTGCTTCTGTGCAGCCAGCCTTGTCTGATCACCTGTATCACCTTGTGGGACTGCTCCACTCACTGGCAGTGGATCAGTGAATGGGGAATAATAAATTAAATGCCTAAGAAAAGAAAGCAAGTAAAAGCACAGGCAGGATCWATGTGGGAGCATTGCCTTTCTCATCCTTGCACCTCTTTTATTTCCTCTTTGCTTCACAGGCAGCAACTGTGCATATTATAGCAGTGGCAGTAGAGGCCATTCCTGCCTCAAGGGGGTTTAATGATGTTTGAATTTCTGTGCAAGGCTCTTTTGCTGCCTACCAAAGGTATGTTTAGTTCTCTTCCCCCCAAACACAGGAAGACTCAAAACAATCATCACTAAATTACTTCCTGGAGAACTCTCATATTTTTTGGTTCTCCAGAGGGAAAATAAGGGGATACTTGAAGCAACAAGAGACATCTGCAAGCAGCCAGCAAGCTGAAACATTTTCTCTCAGCTCTCCTACCAGATTTTTTTTTTTCCTGGAAACTCCTTTCTATGGAGTTTACTTTATGTTTCTCATTCAGAGCTATTTGTCATGTGAAATTAAAGCCAATTCTATTACCCATGAACCTCTGTCTTTCAGGCCATGTGCACATCACCGATTTCAATATTGCCACRATGCTGACGAAGGAGAGCCACGTCACCACCATCGCTGGCACMAAGCCCTACATGGGTGAGAACCAATGGCAGCTTCATGTTCTTGAGTCACCATTTTATGGGTCTGGGTAAACTGGGTAAACTGGGACACACGTGAAGGCCTTTTTGATTACAGTTTGGACTCTTTTCTTCCTTATCTGTATCAGAATGTGCATGTTGGTTTGAAATGCAGAGCACCCTGGAGATGCAGGGAGGGGACAGGAGCAGCTGGGGAATGTGTCTGTCTGCAAATCCCACACGCAGACTGACGCAAGCACACTCTGAATACAGATTTTACTGCCATGATGCTACAGTGTAAAGCATGGATTTGATTAGAAATTAAGATAATTGCATTCCCGAGATCCCCAAGATTTCACATGCAGCAGTCACATTGTATAGCAAWGAAATGCTCCTGCTACCCTTCAGGAGGGAAATTATGCACAAAAATTTGTATTTGATCCCTCACTACACCAGCATGAAAGTCTTACACTGCTGTATCACTAGCAACAATTTGAATTTTTATATGAAATGGTTGCTTTAAAAATTAGCATTACTCTGTGTTTAGGCCAAGTGAGTGGTTGTAAGAAAGCATTGCTCCTTGTTGTTTTTGTTTTAGAGCAATTCTTGCCTCCCAGGTTGCACAAATGTCCTGAAGTGGTTTTTTCCTTACTCTCAAAAGGGAAATTTAATGGCTGAGGAAAAATATTTCAGTTGGTGCCTCCCCCTGCTCCCCAATTAAATCTGCGGCTCTCAGGCTTCWTTCAGTTAAAATTTGGTTTTCCCTGCCAAGGGTGCATTTGGCACCATGTCTGCATTTMTGCTGCATATTAATGTTCCCAAAGAGCTGCTTTCATTGACGGCTGAGACTGCATTTGGGCTCTGCCAGATTGAATCAATTTCAATCTGAACAAAGAGATGAGTGGGATGGGAGCAGCTTCCCAAAGTGCAGATCTGCTGTGCTCTGGGGTCAGAGACACCTCATGGGGAGCTGAGGAGATTCTCGGGCCAGTTAATGCCTAGATTGAGTGGCTGTGCTTGTTCTGGAGAGCGTTTGCTACGAATGATGGGCAACTGCTGTGTCAGTGAAGGGATTTGTTCTTTTTGGGCTTTGGGGGCAGAAAAGAACCAAGAGTTTGGTGTGGAGAGCATTGTGGGGTGGGTCTGGTAGGAGCGTGGCAGCACGGGAAGGGCACAGGTCAGGGTGTTCAGTGTTGCTCATTTCCACTTGGGACTGCAGCAAGTCAATCTATTTTCCCTGTGTTTCACAGCACCTGAAATGTTCAATTCCACAAAACCCACGGGCTACTCCTTCGCCGTGGACTGGTGGTCCCTGGGGGTCACTGCCTACGAGCTGCTCAGGACTCGGGTACGTGTGGCCCCGATGCTGTGCCCTCGGACACTGATGGGAGGGTTAAAGCTCTACAGCAGACATGAGACAGCCAAGCTGAATTCAAGGCTTTGGGGTTATTACAGCAGAGCAAGCAGAGACCACATCCTCATCAGGATTTTTGTGGTCATAGCTAAGAGGTCAGAGAAGCTGCCCCAATACAGAACATCGTGTTGTGGCAATTCCCTGCTGAGGCTGAAGGCCTCTGGGTTGGTCTAAGTGGGGAAGGCAAACAGGCAACAGCTCCTGACATTTGGGCTGCAATATCATTTACTTGGAGCTTCCATCCTGCAAAGGAAAAAAAAAAAAACTTGAAAAAAAATGTTGTTGCTGTTGTAACAAGACCGAGCTGTTGGAGCAAAGGATGGAAAAAGCCCAATCCCTTCCTGTGCCATCAGAGCTCTGCTGCTGACTTGGGCAAGGTTGGGAGCCTTGATTTTAGACAAATGCATCAGTGGTTTGGAAGTGTTTTGTATAATAGTGAGTCAAAATTTTAAAAATTACATTCTTTTAAACAAAAGAAGAATGTAATTTAAAGAGGAGTGTTTGAAATCTTGTGAGGCTCAGAAACTTCTTTAAGTATGAGTATTCCACCTATAATGCTAAATGATCATGTTGATTTTTGACTCGATGTCACTGTTTCTAAAGGCAGGAACAGAAATGTTTTGTGCTCGTACTTGATGGTGCTGGCCATGGCGAGATGGTGGCACTGTGGTGGCTGCCACAGGGCGAGTGAAAGGAGACCTTGAGGTCCATCTAATGTTGGCACCCATCGAGCAAACTGCACCTGATCTGATCTCACTATTTATAGCTATTATTCTTTAAGTGAACTTTTACCACCCGCCTGCCTCCTTCACTCTGAAATGAGGTAAAAATCTGAGAAACAAAACTTTCAAAATGGAAACACTCTGCCATCATAAGTTCTCTCTCCAGGTAAGGCAGCAGAATTGTTGTGAGTGGAAAATAAACAGGGAGGTGACATCACGTGCCGCAGTATGGCTGGCTGTGCACTGCAGCTGCAGTTCCTGGGGCTCCTCTGCACCGTGTGCTCTTCTGCAATGGCTCATCTGTCCCAGGGCTGTGACACTGGCCACGGGGAGAAGAGACTGTCACCCTGCACCCTGATGCCCACCTGACACTGGTAACCCTTCCTGGGACAACCTTTTCTGAGCTGACTTTATTGCTGAGAGACATCTGTCTCGTTTTCAGTGGCATTGTCCCCAACATGACTGAAGAATGTTTTCCAAGGAGTATCAGGAATGCTCTAACCACAGCAGTATGTGTCATACCCTTGTAAGATAAGGACATTGAAAAGACCACTGGCTGATACCTGACTTCTGGGGTTTGTTCCTGTCTGTCCTGCTGTTAAATGCCTAGTTATTGGCATCGTTCTTGCTGATAATTTTGTTTTTTCTACTGCGCCATAGTCACACAGGGAGAGATGTCCCACAGGAGGCTGGGGACCAGACAATGAGACCATGTGAAACTTCTGTGCTCTAACCAGATTTCCCMATGGGTCTGAAAAAGCAGATAAACTCAAGTGCTTTTCTTGTGG